GTTACGCCTCTTTGGCCTAATAAAGTGACTTAAAGTGACTTAAAGGAATTATCTTATTGTTCTTTCATGTTTTTGATCTGACTGCCTGTAAGAAATGACTTGAAGTCTGTGTTTGATCTCATATTTGTTCCGACACTCATTGATAGACGTCCCTTCAAAACGTATTTTAATTTATAGTAATGATATACGCATGGTTGGTAACTAAAGCAAGAAAAATAAAAAAAACACGCAAGCAAAAAATAACTTTCGAAGTTTATGAATCCATACGCAAACGAAAGCGGAACTAGCACTTCATATCCTCAGTATTTACCAGATTGCTTCCGATCCGAAAATTCTTTTTAGGCTCTAATTTAATACTCTTGTAAAAAAGCTTGTAAATAATTGCATCCTGTTTTCGTCCAGCACAGTAAACGGAACTTAATATAGGCGTTTTCTTTCCTGTCAATTTATCCATGTAACTAGGTTGCCTTTGATAGACCTTCTAACCAGCCAATGAGATTCAGGGATTTATTATTTTCTTTGGAGAGGCAGGATTAAAATAATTTCCTGTTATCGTGGAGAAAAATCAGCATTTCTGTGTTACTTTTAAAATAAACCAATGTGTAAATAACAAAATTACTCATCTTCCTTTCAAGATGCCTCACTCCAATCACAGTGCTATAAGGTAGTCTTCATTCGTCATGGTGAGAGTGAATACAACCAAGAAAACAGATTTTGTGGGTGGGTGGACGCCGATCTCTCAGCCAGAGGGGAATGCGAAGCAAAGCAAGCAGGTCAGATGATCAAACAACGATCAATGTGTTTCGATGTTGCATACACAAGCCTCCTAACTCGTGCTATTAAGACATGTCATTATGTGCTTGAGGAACTTGGACTATTATGGATCCCAATACATAAGTAAGTAAGTGGAGTTGATGCAGTTTTTACTGTCTTTTTTGCATTGAAGCAATCCTTCACATACCTAGTGACTTTCTCTGTCGTTTACTGACAAACAGATACACGAGCTCGTACTTGTCATTTGAAACATCGCGTGATATTCTATATTAGATTATAGGTCAGATCCAACTGGATGCTTAAGCATCGGAGGCTTTGGACACATACGCATTGTGAAGCGTTTGACCAATTTTAACTGCAGATTCACATTTGTAAATGTAAAGATGTCTTTGACTTTGCAAATGGTCCCAATAAGTTGAAAAAAGAAAACATAAAGCAACGTTTTACTAGCAGTGCTATTGGTACCTTTAGGTTTCTAAGCCTGCAAAATTATCGCTTTACCTTGTCATATCGAAAAATATTAATGCATTAATGCACATAAGAGACATCACAAATGTTTACGACAATTACAAAACGAGTTTGTGACCAGTAGCTAAACGTGACTGTTGGTGAGCAGCATTAAGCGAAAATTTAACACTCGCTAGGAAAACTGTAGTTAACCTGCGTGCCTTTTAAATTACGTCTATTTTAGTAAGCTTTATTTTTAAGAAAATGAGTAAAACATGCACCTTAAGTGTCATATTGACATGCACATCATTACGAAGTTCGCATAGACATATTACATTCAGAAAACGAATCAGATGTATTTGGTGTGAAACAACGTCTCGTACTTCTTGAGTTTGGTACTGAACCCTTCAAATTTGAGTTCATATTTAATAACAGGTGACATGTTTCTCTTCAATTGCGGACTTAACTTTGCTTAGTAGAAGCCGACATGCTAAATCTTTATGAAGGGAAAATATTCAGGGTTTTGCAAATAAATAACAAAACGGCTTACAATGCGTATTACGACAAAGTCGTTTGGCTGTTAGAAAAAAGTAGTTAAATAAGTTGTTGTCAAGCTCGCAGCTGCCAAATTATTTCGCAACATTATTTACTAGCATACACTGCAATCCTCTTAATCAGTGAAGTTTATCAGGAATAATTTCGATCATATATTTTATTGTAATGTAACTTTAATCAACACGACGTTCTGTTATATATCTAAATAATGTAAAATCTCCTTTTATCGTTTGCACATTTTGTCACGATTTGTAAGCTAGCGGCTTAATATTTTAGGACATGGCGTTTGAATGAACGAATGTATGGGGCGCTTCAGGGTCTTGACAAGGCAGAAACCGCAGTGAAGCACGGCGAGGCTCAAGTGAAACTTTGGCGCCGCTCTTATGACATTCCGCCACCACCGCTCGACATTACTGACTCCGGTCACCCACTTCGTGATCAGAGATACGCTGTTCGTCATTTGCATGCTTTTAAATATACTATTAGTAATAGGGTGGTTGTCTTGCGATAATTTTAGAGAAAATG